TTACATATGCAACTAACAAACACCAATATAAGACAATTATCTCTATTAAAAAAGACTATAGTGAAGCTCATATATACCTCTTTAATGAGTTTGAACCTCTAAAAGACCACACTATTTTACAATCAGACCAATATCCAATATATTATCAAACACCATTAAGATCCTATCCTGAATACTTAACATCTAATACTTTGCCAGACCTCTTTATACCAGATCTAGCATTCATATCTGGACCTTCTTTAATAGAATCTCTTAATAATATACAGCTATTATCACACTCTACAACAAGAGCTTCAACCAATGCCTCTTCTAACACAAATTACCTAACAAACTTAAACAACAAACCTCAAACCCAACTACTTAATCTATTCATTTGTACACACAATGTACATAGATATAATACAAATTTAAAACAACAAGTTTGGGAGAATTATTATCTATCTCACAACCTCAATATTATAAGCATCACTAAAACCAAAATTGCTCAATCAAATACTTGTGCCAAATTTTAAAAATCTAAAAACTTCATATACTATTGGTCTTGTACAGACAAATCCAAAGCAGGTACAGCAATTATACTAAATAACAGACTTAAACCACATGTTCATAAGATTCTCACAGCTCTAGAATATGCAGTTGCTATTGATATCCTCTTTAGATATAACTTTAGATTTAGAATTATCTCCACCTATCTACCATCTAATGACTCACAACTCCAACTTGAAACTTAAAACAACATTATTCAGTGGATACAAGAAGCAACTTCTAACAACCTACAACCTATTGTCATAGGTGATTTCAATGCTACAAATGACAATATACAATCAGCATCTATTAATTACAAACTACTACACTTCCTACAATTTAACAATATGTATGACCTGGCAGCTCATACTCAATCCTCTACTATAACCTGACAAAGTAACAGATTCCAAAATAGTATTAACTATATCTGAGCAAACCATTCCATCCTTCAATATCTTACCTCATACTAAACAGATGATCCACATACCAGCACCAGGAGTGATCATTTAATCTTAACATTAACATGGACTTTTCCATATGTACTCTTTGGAAAACTATGTATATCAACCAAAACCCACAAAAGAGTATTCATATACAAAAATATGAATAACGAAAAATGGCAAGCATATACCGACCAAGTTTCCTCTAATCTCCAAAACAACAATACATCCATATCTGCTCATACATCAGAATCACTTGAAGCCATCTGGCACAAAATTCAAACTAGTATCATCTCTGCTGCTATACAATATATACCAAACAAAAAATTTACTGTATATAATTTCCAACATGTTTACTTACTTAAAGCCTCTCTTTTGCATATACATCTTAAAAAATTAGGAAATATTTTCTGACAAATTAAAGCAACAATTAAAAATCATACACCTATACCAAACCAACACAACTATATAATCAATCACATTAATTCAATCTACAATTTAAACATACTATTAATATTAACTAATTACAATTTATTACCTAACTGGATATCTGCAAGCAATGATGAATGGAAAGCACTTTATCATGCACGCAATATTGAAAACATTAAAGAAATTAGACAGCAAATAAATGATAATATATCTAAGAGATGCGACAAACTTCAAACCAATCCCAAATCTATGATCAACAGTATATTAAACCGTCACAAAGATCCAGTTAAATTTGATAATATTAAAACAGATAATAATATTATTACAGACACAAATAGTATTAGATCCCATATCCAACAGCATTTTGAACAATAGACAGAACTTAGACCAATTAATGAAAATATCTATAATTCCTCTTGGGCAACTGACTATAAACCTCTTAGTCATGTTGACCCAGAATGGTACCATAGTGCTCTTACAGAACTTTCCATTGAGGAAGTATCCAACACT